CTCAAGTGTCCAAATATGAGGTAGCTTTAGTGAGTGGGGGTGCCAGGGTGGATAATTCAAGGAGAACATGAGTCAAGGAGCCATTGGATAGTGAGAAGAACAGCCAGGCTGGAGCTGAGCTGCCAAGTAAGGACTTGGCCCTGAAGCACTATCGAGTCATTTTAAGTCCATAGACCAGACCAGGTAGTGATATGATGAAAGTAGTGCAAACTACTTTGGGAAGTGCAATCTTCCTCCAGGTACCAATTTGGAGTGGAGGTGAGAGAGCAGATTCCAAGGGCAAGAATGAAGGCCACTAAAAGGAGTCCATGAGCAGCATGAACAGCAATGGCTAACTATGAAAAATAATTTAATAGGGTTTGTTAGAGGAGAGATCCCTCACAGATAATACCAAGGCTTTAAATATCATGACTGAGAGATGGAAGATGCCACCTGAAGAATTAAGGAAGGCAAGAGCAGGAGAGCTACTTTGGGGAGTTGGAAAGACATATAGAGTTGAGTCTGAGTCTGGCCAAAGTCCAAGTAACAGCAAACACTCCAGTTGAAAATGTCTGGAATCACAGGACAAAGCTCAACACAAAGACAAAGGTAGAAGATATTTCTACAACATCCTATTATCATTTATCTTCTTAGGTTTTTTCCCTGAATAGTAAAGAAAGAGTTTTCTTCTCTATCACCAAAGCTAAGCTCTTATATTTGTTAGAAAACTTATTCTTATCTCACCTTTTCAGGTATCTAACACAACAATTAAGCTCCCATCTTCAGTTTTTCCTGTCCATGGGTTTTCTCCCTCCCACCTGCAAACCTTCTCTAACTGTGACAAAAAAAAGACAAAAAAAAAAAAAAGGAAAACTGCTTATGACTAGCACACAACTTTTTTTCCTTTCACTGATAAACTCTGCAAGTAACTGCTTCCTACCCACCACCCCAAATCCCTACTCTGAATCTCTGTTCTAATATTGGGCTCCCAAGAGCTCCCAGTGGCCTTCTTTTTACCACATCCAATGACAGACACCCAGTGCTCTCCTGCTCACCCTGTCTATAGCCTGTCATCACACCAAAACCCACACTGACTCCCTGGAGTCCCCAGCATCAAGTCCCCTTTGTTGCCACTTCCTAAATAAGGGTTTCTCCTCCAATGTCTAACCAAAGCTCTTCCTCCCTTTCCTCCACCCTCTCCAAGAACGAAACCATCACAAAGCTTAGGCTGCACCCAGTCTTGATGCAGAAGGCTTCTAAGTCTACATTGCCAACCCTAACCTCCTGCCTATGCTCCTATCTTGAGTCCCAAATTTCCCACAAAATAGCTCCACCTCGATATCCCTCAATCACCTCCAATTATCCACATCTGGAACTAACTTCGCTACCTGCAAAAAGGACTCTTGTCTTCAACCAGATTATGTCAGTAGGAACAGCCAGGCCTCTGTACTATCAACCAGGCTACTTCTGTTTCCTCGTGGGCTTAAAAATATTTTCCCCTTCTAACTAGCTTGTCAACAAATCCCCACATTTCTACCTTTGAAAATGTCTCCCAGTGTTGTCCCTGACTCCCCATCCTTTCTGCCACCAACCCAGACCAAGTCCCCTCCCTCTCAGGTCTGGATCACTTTTGCATCTCCCTGAATTTTTTCACTCTCTTCTCTGCTTCACCAGTCACATTATCTCCAGATTAACCTTTCCAAAAACCACTTTCTTCAGGATATACCCTTGCTCAAAAACCTAAAATGACTCCCTACTAACTCTGAATCAAATCCAAACTCTTTTCTTGGCCTTCCAAGGCTCTCCTATCTGGCCTTGCCCTACTTACCCAATTCTGTTTCCTGTTCCTCCCCAAATTACACCTTCCATTCAGTCATTCTGAATCCTCAATGTCAATGCCCCAACCTCCCTGTGCCTCTGCTCACGCTGCTCTTCCCACTCCCCAGTCAATCCCCCCTCAAGGGTGGTTCCACTCCTCTGTAGTTCTGCCAACTTTTTATTTTATACCACCAAAATGTTCAGCAATTAATTAATCTCTGAGAAGTAACTGTCAATCTTCTTTTAAAAGTTCTTCAAGGGAAGAGACCACTTTGAATATTTCATTTGTATTCCAGCATCCTAGATAGCAGAAGGCTTCTGGTAGAAGTTGAAAAGTCCTTGTTGGTTTTCTATTCCAAGTGGTTCCTAGTCCCAGTTCTGAGTCCCCATATTTCCCCTTCTCTGCCTCATAACCATCACCAATAAAATTACTAAGACATACTTTCCCAAGCTTGGTATAGAGAATTACCGGGAAGATGATATGGAGTCCACCAATCTGTAAGAATAGTGGGCTTGAGGGTGGGGAGAGTTGGCTATGTGTGCCCACACGCATGTAGGGAAGATTTAAGAAATCTAGCTTAATCAGTTGGTCAAGAGAACTGAAATACCAAAATAATCAGAAGATGACAAGTAAGGACAGAATTATCCCAAACATGCCTAATTAGAGACATAATATGCTGTGGTTTGACAAAGCAATTGCCAGTCTGGTCTTTGTGCATGCAAAATTTTCCATAAAAAAAGGGGTAACCCTTGCACTAGAGACTTTGAGAATTTGTTTGACTGTTTCTCAATTGTTCAGTTGAATAAATTCATAATGTCCAGACTGCCAGGTGTAGTGCTATGTTCCACAGACAGGGGAATCAGAAGGAAGAAACTTAGGAAATATGGCCTCTTCCAGAAACTTAAGAAATATGGCCTTAAGAATCCTCAGCAAGAGCCCAGGCAAGAGAATGAATGGAAGGGGGTAAAATCAGGAAGGAGAGCACAGGGGGCCACAGAGGACCAAAGGCAGCCTGCACTCCCTTTTGGAATGTGTTACAGGTCATAAGCCATTTCCAGCCACATGCATTGAGGGTTTCACATTTCTCTGATTCTAAATGCACATCAGACCTAGCCTCCCTTCAACAAGCCTGCCCAAGGAAGAATAGCCCTAACAAGAGTCCCACAGGAGTCTGCTATTTACTCTGTGATTTTAGCTGGAGCTAGACAATATAAGCCCCAAGTTGAGTCTTGAAAGGCCCTAGGAAAAGTGACATACTGGACCATTACAGGCCATTAACACCATTAATGCTGTGTGAATTCATTTGTCAGAAATTAGCAAGCATCCAGAAACTGAGCTCTCCTCCAAGGGTCTGGGACAGAGAATGAACAGGAACTAGTGTTTGGATGGTAGGAAAAAGGAAGGAGTGGATGCTGAGGGAGGGAGGGAGGGAGGAAGGAAAGAAGTAATGAAGAAGAGAGGGAGGGAGGGAGGGAAGGAGGGAGGGAGGGAGGAAAGAAAAGAAAGTCTAGAAAGAAAAAGTGGGAAGTCTCCCTCTTCAAGAGTTTTCCCCAGAGCTAAGAAAAGGCACACTTTTGCCCCACATGGAAGGCAAGAAGGGTCAGGAAGACCCCGTGGTGAATGTTTCCAGGTATCACTTAGCTCCCAGAAATTTGACCCTAGATTGCAGGATACAAACTCGAGTCAAGTCTGAGATGCTGGCTCCCAACACGCACTTGAGAATCCATGCCTTGGGTCCTAGGTCGTGTGTGTGTGTGTGTGTGTGTGTGTGTGTGTGTGTGTGTGTGTGTGTGTGTGTGTTAGAGAGAGAGAGAGAGAGAATAAGAATGTGACCTCTGAGGAAAAGGAATGAGGAAGGAAGGCAAGGCTGGGGCCTGAGGAGCTGGATAACAGGGGCTCCCTCTGCTTTCTCCAGGTCCTGGCATTAGCCTGTACTAAGCATTTTCCCTTCCAGACCCACTAGAAAATGAACATATGGGCCAATCAAGTCTTGACTTCTAAAGCCACAAGTCTCCCCAACAAAGCACTCCACCCCCTTCCCTAGAGATGACCTCCAGGGCAAAGCAATGAGTTTAGGAAACAGATGGATATGCAGAGAGCCTTCAGAGCTAACCTGATCTGGCCCCACCAGTCCGCGTTCTCTAATATAACTTAGCAAAGGAGAGGGCAGAAACGCGGGGTCTCATAACTTAATGGACTCCTTGGGACAAAGATTCCAGACAAAATGGTTCCAGACATGGGAGATGCGGAGCTCTATCTACCGAGTTGGTGGAAGCCACAGGTAAAAAGAGAGATGGGGAATCCCTGGCCATCAGAGAAACCGGGCCACAGGTGGTGGGACGTGAAGGCAGTGGGTGCCCGTTCTAGGGGAAGGGGCTCTGTAGTCAGGGAGCAGGAGAAGCTATAGAGCTGGGGGATGGGAGGTAGCGAGGCTGCAAACAGCTGGAAAGACAGATCTGGGGGCTTTACAAACCACGGGCAAGCAAAGACTCAGTGGGTGTGTATGAGGGGGACGCTAACTCACACTTCCAGGAATAAGTGATTCTTATGAAAATTTCATCCGTTCCCAGAACTGGAGAAGAGGAGGACAAGGAGGACGCCAGAGGCGCCCACTGCCCTCCCAGCACGGTCTGCCTCTCAAGTCAAAGACGCAAGCCTCCCCACACACACCCTGCTTGACCGTCCTGGGTCCGCCCCGCTCCTGTCAGTCTGCAGCCTGCGTGACTCCGGGTCCCCAAGGCCTTTCTCTTTGCACATCAGGGCCCCGGGGCCCCTGGGCCGAGAAGGGGTGCCAGCCCAGGGCGGCCCGAGATGGGCTGACAGGCGCTGGGAGGAGGGTATTGAGGGAGGGGCCGGGGACGCCGGTAGCTGGATCCGCGCGCTGCAAAGTGATCCAACATCGCCCGATCCCCGCGCTCCGGGAGAAGGCGGCCGAGGGAACCGCCTCCCGCCTCCCCACCACAGACTCCCGCAAGTGAGGTGAACACCGAGGGGCGCCGAGCTCCCAGCCCCCACCCATCCCCGAAACGCGACCAGCATTGCCATAACAACAAGAATCTCTGCAACTCCAGCCGGACGGCGTGGGGGAGGGTTCCCCAACACGCACACCCCAGCAACAGTCCCGCTTCCCCAAACTTGTCCGAGACGCCGCGTCCCAAGGCAGCGGCCCTGCCCCCGGCTGCCCGCACCCTGCCCAGTCTACCTGTGCGGAAAAACGCATCCACGTCCGAATCGGCCGCTCCTCCTTCCTCCGCTGCCCCCTCCGGGGGGTTCATGACTGGGGGAGGGCGTCCGCGAGCAGCCCGGGGCCGGCGAAGCCTGGGGCCGAGGACTGCTCAGCGCCGGGTAGGCAGAGAGTGTGGGGCGCAGCGGCTGCGGCTGCGGCCGCGGCCGCAGACCCGGGCGGACTCCGGGCTTCGAGAGCTGGAGGCTGGGGCGGCAAGCTAGGGAGGAGGACGCCAAGCCTCCCTCAAGGGGAGGCGCGCGGCGGGCTGGGGGCGCCTGTCGCCGGCTCCCCCATGGTACCCCTTCCTCGGGGACGCTGGCCGCCTGCTGTCTGGCCGGGGCCGGGGGCCCGGCTGCCTGGGCGCCCGCTCTTGCCCAACAGCAGCAGCTGGCTCTCCTCCTCACCCGTCCGCTTGTCTCTATTGTTCAGCCCTGCTCGGCTCTCCTCTTTATTTTTCCTCCTCCCTCCCACCCTCCCAGTCTCTCTACCTCCTCCCTCCCTCGTTCACTCGCCCGCTCGCTCGCTGCCTCTCTCCCTCCCTACCTCGCTCTCTAGCTCCCCCTCTGGCTCCCGCCGCCGCAGCCGCTCACTCCCCAGCTCCTCCCTCGGCTCCCGCTCCACAGTCCCGGCCAACAATGACCCGGGCAGCGCCGAGCACAGCTGAGGCTTCGGCCGGGGCCCGGGGCTCGCCTCGGACCCCCGGCGGCGTGGTCGCCTTCTTGCCCCGTGGCCAGGCACCGGCCTCCCCGGCAGCAGAGAGCCGGCCCGGAGCTATTGTTCCTGGCGGTACTAGGCCGGCTGGCTTCCTGAGCCCCGCAGGAAAAGCCCCGCGAGGAGGTGGCCGAGGAGGGGGCGGGGCCGCCGGGCACTCGCTCGGCTTGCCCCGGGCTCTGCCGCCCCAGCAATGCGCTCTCAGCCTTTTCCCTCGTGCTGTGTGTGCTTCGCGCCCCACCCAGCTCCCAGGTGTGAAGGGGAACCCTAAGCTGCTTGTCTTTCTCCTTTTCAGACCGATCCCCAAGCTGGACTGACCTGTCCCTAGGGGCTGGACTCCCCACCCCCCATTCCCCTGCTCCTTGCAGATAAGCTCTCTCCTGTCTTCCTCCCCTTCAGAGCCTCTTGCATGTTCATCACGATCTCCCCGTAGTTCTTTCCTTTTTTTAGTTCTCTTCCTCTTCTCCCTTTAAACACCTCTGCCCATCTCTGTGACTCTTTGTCCGCTTCATTCCTCTGGCGGTGTCCCCCTGACTATCTCTCCCTCTGTCACTCTTCTGTCTCTCATTTGTCTCTGTCCTGCTTCGGTACTTGGCCCCGTTCTCAGCGCTTCTCTTGGACAGCTGTCAAAACTCCCTAATCCCCGGGGCTTTCTCTGTTTTGTTCATCTTCCTCGTGTGAATGGAGAGATCCAGTTGGCCAGAAGAAAGGAGGTGTTACAGCAAGCTGAATTTCAATTAAAGTGGGGAGAGGGGCAGGGGAGGAGTGGGGTTGACAGGAGAAAAAAAAGAAAGCGAGCAGATGCTGTATGGGTAATTAATGCAGTGATTGTATTGTGCCAATTGGTTTTAAGCAATAATTAAACAATAATTAGCCAGTATTCTGTTTATAGTTCTATTGACTGCAGAACCTATAAAACAGAGGCTCTTTAACCTGAGTACTTAATGGGGTGTGTTGGGGGCTGTTGCTGTTGCCTCATCCAGGCAAATGGAATGGCTGTGGCCTGACCTAATGTGTTAAACACACCTAATTGGAAAACCAGGTCCTAGTCTAAAGTTGATGTCATGCTGCCCAACAGCCAGAATCTTCTGCATGTTTGTCTCTGGCAACCTCCCTTGAGTCAAAGCACCTGAGATCTTTCCAGATCTACCAGCTAGGTAACTCTAACAGCAAACAAAATGAATTAAATTAGTTTTTAGTGAACCCTTTCTGGCTCTGTGTACTCATCACTTTCTTTACTGAATGTCACAATGTTTTTTGTTTGTTTGTTGTACAGTTACCAGTCTCCAGTCCTGGATGTCTATCAGACTCCATTCCTTAAAAAATTATTAATACTGACTCTGAGATCTCAAGTTAACTGCCATGAGATCGAGATCTAATTCATCTGGCCCTGATACCTTGAATTGCCTTAAAGCAGCCAAATGCTCTCTACTTACCACCTACTCTGACAATGAAAATACTTTCAATTTGTCTTTTCTAAATTTTGCCTCGATTTAACCCCATGACAAAACCCTGTCCTGTACTTCCCCTCACCCCCACCCCTCCCCCGACCCACCCTCACCACCTCCCAATACAGGATAGCAGAGCTGCCATTAACTGCCACCATTGTGCAGATAGAGAACCACAGGCATGATAAGAGTATTCTCATCCCAAAGTGAGAAGAAACATTACATGTTTAGAGGAAGGTTCATATCAAAATCTCAAGAAATGAGGATCAGACGGGGGATAACCTTATATAATGACATTGATTTTTCAGAGAAAATTTGGTGATTTCTATTAAAATTTTAAATGTTCTTAGCTATATGAATATCAGGCAAAGACTTCAGAGCACATAATGTTACCAGGGATAAAGAGAGATATTGAAATATTCATCAATTGAACATATCATTATCAAAGTTTTTGTATTTAATTAGAATTTTAAAATATACGAAGAAAAACTGATAGGACTACAAGGAGAAATAGACAAAGTCATAGTTATCCTCAGAGATTTTAATATGTATCATACTTGATAGACTAAGGAGAAAGATCATCAGTAAGATATGAAAGACTTTAACAATGGTATCAAAGAATATAACCTAACTGACATGTATAGAATGACATGTATAGAATCTGCTGTCATGGCAGCAGATACAAATTTTTTCAAGTATACAGTTAACATTTATCAACATAAACCATATGCTAAGCCATAATACAAGTCTCAATAAATTTAAAAGGATTCACACCATGCACACTGATATGCAAATGATAACTTAGTTGCTTTTTAAAAATCATACGAAGTATGTTCTCTGAGCAAAACACAACTAAATTATAAATCAATAACAAATTTCTGGAAAATTCACCCCAAGTATTTGAAAACTAAATAACATACTTCTAAATAACCTATGGTCAACTAAAAACTCAAAGGGAATTAATAGGAAGAATTTAGACTGAATAAAAAATGAAAAAATATCATATAAGTATCCATGGAATACAGCTAAAGCAGCACGTAGAGAGAAATTTAGATGGCTAAAATATTTTGAAAAGAGAGGTCTCAAATCAAGGATCTTCTGTTCTACCTTAAGAGTAAATGAAAACCAAATTAGAAAAACAGAACTTTTAAAAAAATATATTGTATTGATTATGCTATTACAGTTGTCCCATTTCACCCCTTCATCCCCCTCCACCCTGCACACCCTCTCCCACCCACATTCCCCCCCTTTAGTTCATGCCCATGTGTCGTAAGTTCTATAGCTTCTACATTTCCCATACTATTCTTGCCCTCCCCCTATCTATTTTCAACCTACAATCTATGCTACTTATTCTTTGTACCTTTCCCCCCCTCTTCTCCTCCCATTCCCCTGTTGCTAACCCTCCATGTGATCTCCATTTCTGTGGTTCTGTTCCTGTTCTAGTTGTTTTTGTTTTTGTTATGGATGTGGTTGTTAATTATTGTGAGTTTGTTGTCATTGTACTATACATGTTTTCTGTCTTCTTTTTCTTAGATAAGTCCCTTTAACATTTCATAAAATAAGGACTTGGTGATGATGAACTCCTTGAACTTGACCTTATCTGAGAAGCACTTGACCTGCCCTTCCGTTCTAAATGAAAGCTTTGCTGGAGAGAGCAATCTTGGATGTAGGTCCTTGCCTTTCATGACTTGGAATACTTCTTTCCAGCCCCTTCTTGCCTGCAAGGTCTCTTTTGAGAAGTCAGCAGACAGTCTTATGGGAACTTCTTTGTAGGTAATTGTCTCCTTATCTCTTGTTGCTTCTAGGATTCTCTCCTTCATTTTTATCTTAGATAATGTAATTATGATGTGCCTTGGTGTGTTCCTCCTTGGGCCCAACTTCTTTGGGACTCTCTGAGCTTCCTGGACTTCCTGGAAGTCTATTTCCTTTGCCAGATTGGGGAAGTTCTCCTTTATTATTTGTTCAAATAACTTTTCCACTTGTTGCTCTTCCTCTTCCCCTTCTGGTACCCCTATAAGTCAGATGCTGGAATGTTTAAAGATGTCCTGGAGGTTCCTAAGCCTCTCCTAATTTTCTGAATTCTTATTTCTTCATTCTTTTCTGTTTGATTGTTTCTTTCTTTTTTCTGGTCCACTCCATTGATTTGAGTCTCAGTTTTCTTCCCATCACTATTGGTTCCCTGTGCATTTTCCTTCATTTGACTTAGCATAGCATTCATTATTTCATCTAATTTGCAACCAAATTCAACCAATTCTGTGAGCATCCTGATCACCAGTGCTTTGAACTGTGCATCTGATAGGTTGGCTATCTCTTCCTCACTTAGTTGTATTTGCTGTGGAGCTTTGATCTGTTCTTCTGTTGGGCCATTTTTGTTTGTCTTGATATGCGCCTGTTACTTGTATGAGGGGCGGAGCCGTATGTGTTCACTAGGGTGGGGCAACCCAGTCACTGGGTTGTGATGCTGTATGTGGGGGCAGTGTCTGAGAGGGAACAATGGTGCCTGCTCTGCTCTCTGTCGGACTCCAGTCCCCTCTGCCGCTTCCCCCAAGCAAACTGAACCTTTCTGGTGCTGATTCCCGTATGGGTGGGCTTGTGCACATTCTAGGACCCTGTGGGTCTCTCCAACGAACTCTCCTGTGAGGCTGGGAGTCTCTCCAGGTACCTCAACCCCCACAGGTGTTTTCAATCAGTTGCCCCGAGGCTCTATTTTTCGGTGCTGAGATCCTAGGTTGCTCAGCATGTCTCCCTCCCCAGCCTCGACTGGTTTATCTGCAAGTGAATGTGGGACCACCCAGTCAGCCAGCCACCTTGCATTTCACAATTGCTGCTTCTCTGGGTCTGCCTATTGCCACCCCAAGCCAAGGTTCTGTCAGCCACCGTCTACTTGCCCAGGGCCCACCCACTACAGTTTTGCACCCGGGATGCCTTACGCACCCTGGGTACCTTGAGCACCCAGTGTCACCACTTTTTTGCCTTGACCCCTCTCTGTCCCACTTTTTTTTGCCTTGACCCATCTCCGCCCGGCTGTCCAATTCCGCCCTGCCTACCGGTCTGGATAAATGTGTCTATTTTAACTCCTTGGTTGTTGGACTTCCATAGAGTTCAATTTTCTGTCAGTTCTGGTTGTTATTTTATTTCTAAATTGTTATTGTCCTTATTTTGGTTGTACGAGGAGGCACAGTGTGTCCACCTATGCCTCCATCTTGGCCTGAAGTCAAAAACAGAACTTTTTAAAGAGCAGAGCCAAAACAATA